TCCTTCCTTCTTTCTTTCTTTCTTTCTTTCTTTCTTTCTTTCTTTCTTTCTTTCTTTCTTTCTTTCTTTCTTTCTTTCTTTCTTTCTTTCTTCTTTCCTTTCTTTTCTTTCTTTTCTTTCTGTTAGTCTTCTGAGCGCTCGCTGCAGCCAGGCCCTGTGTCAGCCGCCACATTATCTGTGCTCACTCCCGGGACCCTCACACACACCGTCGGAACTGCTCTTTCTCCAACAGTGGGGCTTCCAAATATCCACCTTCTGGTCAGATCTATCTTCTGAATTCCAGATCCTCTTTCCAGCTCCCTAACTCTACATTGTCCTGCGACGAATCAGAGCTGATGTTTATCTAATGCTTCGGAAGGGCTGGACCCTGTGCTCATTGCTTTGGGGCCATTATTTCATTCCATCCTCATAGTAGTCCCACAAGATAGGTACTGTCATCTCATTGTTTGTAAGTGAGAGGAATGGAGCTTCGGAGAGGTCAAGTTACTCGGCCCAGGGAGCATACTAAAGTGTCAGAGCCGGGATTTCGGGGCATTGGCAGTCAGACTGCACAGCCCATTCTCGAAGCTACGATGCTGTGTCCTGTAATCATGTCAGATGCCCAAGACCACCCTCCACGCTTCTCTGAACCGGTTCCCCTTCCACACCCAGATGGTGATGGGGGGGTTAAAGAGTACACGTATCAGGATGTGCACTGAGTAATGTATACAATTGTTGGGTCACTATATTGTGCACCCGAAACTCATATAACAGTGTATGCTACCCATACTGGAATCGAGATAAAAAAGTTAGTAAGAAAAAAAAAATAGTAAAAAAAAGAATTTTGCCAGACTGAGCATTCTAGATCAGCCATCAGCGTTATTCACGTTTATACTTCTGATGACCCAATGATTGGGTTCTGGTGTCCAAACTCCTTCATTTCAGAGTTTCATTATCTGATGACCTGACCCTGTCTAGCTATCCTACCTCACTTGTCATATTTAATATTCAAAACCTACTGAGTTCCTGAAAGACCTCACATTCTTTGTGGATCTGGATCTTTGCACACATGTGATTCTCTCTGCGTGTAATGCCCTAGATCAGACATTTAAGGAGAGTGAACCTACTCATCTTTTAAGATACTGTCTGTCTGTCAAGTGTTTTCCCAGTTAACATATTCCTTTCTGTATGGTCCTTTAGCACCTGGCACACATTTTATCACCTTACATTGAAATCTCTCGCTTGACTTTGTGGGGCTTTAGGTCAAAGAGAGAGTCTGGATTATCCCCGTGCCCCTGATACCTCACCCCGGTACCTGGCACCATGCTAGTCGCTCAGTTTGGTGACGTTTTGTAAAGCGTACGGACCGAAGCTGTCTCTCATTCATTCATTTCATGCATTCATTCTGAACGAAAGACACCTTCAGCCCATACACCTTATAAAACTGAATTGGTTTCACAGAACAGTTTTGATTTCAAGATTCTAAACAGATGCAAATAATACCTAAGGGCAGCAGTCATGAAAATGTAACATCTCTGTAAGTCATTCACAGAAACAGCTTTTCGAAGCCAGTGACAGTTTAAGTGATGCATCAGTGCTGCCGTCCTGAGGGAAATCTCCTGGCTCTCTCCTCAAGGGCCTGTTATCTCCGACTACAAGGACTCCAGAATCACACTGCCTTTCTCCTCAGTATTGTCTGAGGGTCATATATTTAGCCTCTCTTCGGGTTTATCTCTTCTAGCCATTATTTCCCCAGCGCAGAAATCCTAGTCCCTCCCGCCGCCCCTCCCCGCCACCATACCTCTCCTTTTTTCCAACATCTGAGGTCTTCAAGGGAGAAGTAGCCCTCTTGAAACGTCCATTATCTCAGCACTTATCCTGAAGGAGGGACTTGGATCTTTTGTCCTCCTAGATCTCACACTGATGAGATATGTGTAAAGACTTAGCTTTATGTCCTACGTGGTGAATTCTCCGGCTAAATTTCTTTATTTCTTCACTCTACCCACTTGGCTAGTTTGATTTAATCTTTGCATGCTCGGATCATCATTCCTGCATTTCAGTCTGACATCATGTCTGGAGAAGGAAACACAGGGCCAGTCTGCTTTCCGGGGACCCTTAGGGTTGGCACCCCTGCTCCTGGCGCTGTCAGCTACTAGATTTGATTAGAGTAGGTTGACAAGTAATGGTGATAAATGTTTCCTGTGAGAACACACTGTCTGCCTAAATGGGGTAATTTCTTCTCTGTGTGCCTTCCTTTGGGAAATGCATGAAGTCACTGAAGTTGTGAAAAAACCAAGTGATATACATTGCATTAACGAAGTTCCTACTCCTTATGTCAGTTCTTGGACTTGTTTTGCTCAAGTGAGTATTGGGTTTCTCCATGTATTAACTCTGTGATGTTTAGAATTAGAGACAAAATAATTTTTCCTAATTTATGAAAAGCTTTGGGGATAAGTAACAACTTAGTAATGAAAAATTTGTTGTAAGTAAAACTGAAAATTGTAGGTGTATGGTTTTAGGGATATTTAAAATTAGAGGCTTGCCTCATTATGTAGTTCTAAAATTTTGAAACAGGTAAGATACCTTAAAATCAAACCTTGTGTGTAAATAAAGCCATTGTTTGTAGCTTTAATGTGACACATCCCATTTTGATCTCAAAATGGTGAGTTAAAAAAACAACAACAAAATGACAGGGTTAATGTCTTCTTCACAGTCTGCTGTTTCCTGGTTAAAACATTTTCCCACTCTTACTTTTCTTTAACCAAGGAGGTGACTGTTTTCTAAGCAGAGTTACATTGTCAAATCACAAGCCTAACAGTGTCCATTAAAAATAAAAGTACCATAAGCATTGTAGACCTATTTAGTTTTAACAATTAAGAAGACACAGCTACCAGAGAACATGCTGACAACGAGAATCTTAAACGTTGCTGTCAAATCCTGTAACCGTTATTTAGTGAAGATAGCACCAGACATTTCTATATCTAAAAGACAAGCATACTCAATGTATCTTTAAAAAGGAAACAAACCTGTACATTCGGCACTGAGTAGATATCCTAAAAGGCAGATGGTGACGAGGCCCAGTGATTCTGCCATGATCCTATTCAGGCACTGCATAACCTTTGCTGACGAATTGTGCAAGTGGTAAGGTTGACCAATTGTTCCAAAGTACAAGCCGAGCTGTATTTACTTCTGGGAAACAATGTCCATCTCCCTCAGTGGGTCTTTGGGCTATTTCCAGTGGCCTCTTGGGTGAAGTGAAGAGTATAGGCAGTGTTCATCTTTAAACTTCACCTCTGATTCCATGGGCTTCTGCCACTGTGGCTGATGGGAGGCTGAAGCAGGAAGCAACACATCATCAGAACAGGGGGAGGTATAATGGTAGTTGCTGTGGCAGCAAAATTCATCAGTGAGATCCATCTTTATCCTTCTCAGGGAGCACTAATGTCATAGAGTTTAAAAATAAAGAGACAGGGGCGCCTGGGTGGCTCAGTTGGTTAAGCCTCCAACTCTTGGTTTTGGCTCAGGTCATGAACTCAGGGTGGTGGGAATGGAGCCCCATATTGGGCTCCGCACTCAGCACAGAGTCTGCTTGAGATTCTCCCTCCCTCTCCCTCTGCCCCTCCCCTCCACTCGCACTCTTTCTAAAATAAATAAATAAATCTTTAAACAAAAAAGTATAGAGACAGAACAAAGTCATTTGGTTATCTACCTTAAAACACTCCCAGTGTTTACATACATTTAATCACCTGGTGGATCCTTTATGTTCCTCCTCATAACGAGTTTATAAACTTTATTGTGCCATGTTCCCATAGAGTGAAATGTGAGGACCCTGTCTCAGAACATATGTATGTATGTGTGAGCATATGTGTATGCATGTATACTTATATATTATGTATATAAAAAATATATGAATATTATCTTATAATAGTTTGTGTTAGTATATTATACCACTTCATGTATAATATAAAAACAATAGTATACCAACATTTACCTATCATTCTTTGTGCTGCTGTTGTGGTACATTTTATTTCTACCTGTTATAAACCCTATATTACATTATTCTGCTTTAAGCAGTCACGTCTTTCAAAGAAATTTAAAAATGAGAAAAAACATTTTATATTTAGCCACATATTTGCCATTATGATATTCTTCATTTCTTTGTGTAAATCCAAGTTTCAATCTGTTAAAATTTTTCATCACTCTGAATAATTCTCTTTAGTAATTTTGATAGTGTAGGTCTTCTTATGATGAATTTTCTCAATTTTTATTTGAAAATGTATCTATTTTACTTTTTTTTAAAAGATTTTATTTATGTATTTGTCAGAGAGAGAGAGAGAGAGAGAGCACAAGCAGGGAGAGCGGCAGGCAGAGGGAGAAGCAGGCTCCCCGCTGAGCAAGGAGCCCGATGCAGGTCTCCATCCCAGGACCTTGGGATCATGACCTGAGCCAAAGGCAGACACTTAACCGACTGATCCACCCAGGCATTCCAATTTTACCCTCATTTTTAAAAAGTAATTTGGCTGCATATATAATTCTAAGTTGACACTTTTTTTTCCCTTTCAGCACATTAATGTCATCCTATTGCCTTCTGGCATGCATTGTTTCTGATGAGAAGGCAGTGACTATCCTTATCACTGATTTTCGGCAATTTGCCTACGGTGAGTCAAGGGAATTCTTGGATCTGTGGCTGGATATTTTTATTAAAATGAGGAAAATTTTTGGACATTAATTAAAAAAATTTTTTTTGAAGTTATCATAGGGTCCCCGGAAATTGTAAAAACAGTTCAGAGAGGTCCCATATATCTTTCACCCAGTTACTCCCAATGTTTATATCTCACATAAATATAGGATAACATCAAAACCAGGGAATGAACATTGACGTAATGTATGTGTGTAATTCTAAGTAATTTTATCACATGGGCAGATTTATGTAACCACCACTGCGGTCCAGATACAGAACAATTCTATCACCACAAAGATCTCCCTTGTGCTACTATTTTATAATCATACCCACCTCATTCCTCCCAATTATTCCTAACCCTGGCACTACTTACTAATCAGTTTCAGCCTCTGTAATGAGAATGTTGTATAAATAGAATCATAGAGTGTGATCTTTTGAGATTGGCATTTTTCATTGAGCACAGCGCCTTTGAAATCCATCTGGGTTGCTGCAGGTTTCAATAGTGAATTCCTTTTTGTTGCTGAGTAGTATTCCATGATGTGGATATACCACAAATTGTTTATTCACCTACTGAGGAACATTTTGATCGTTTCCAGTTTTTGCTATTGAAATAATGTGCTATAAACATAAATGTACTGTTTTCTGTATGGATGTAACTTTTAAATTTCTCTGGGATAAATGCCCAGGAATGTAATTTCTAGGTCATATGGTAGTTGAATGTTTAGCTTTTTTTTTTTTGAAGGATGTTATGCCAAGAGAAGAAATTTGTTTTTTGTTTTTTTTATTTTTTAGCAAGAGAGAAAGAGTGAGCAAATGGAGAGAGGGAGAGGGAGAGAGAATCTTAAGCAGGCTCCACACTTGGTGCAGAGTCTGACACAGGGCTTGATCTCACGACCCTGAGAACATGACCTGAGCCAAAAGCAAGAGTCAGACGCCTAACCAACTTAACCACCCAGGCACCCTGAATGTTTGGCTTTTAAATAAACTGCCAAACTGTTTTCCAAAATGGATCCATCACTTTACATTCCCACCAGCAATGGGTGAATGATCCAGTTTCTTGGCATCCTTGCCAGCATTTTATATTGTCACTGTTTTGTTTTTTTTTTTTTTTTCTACTTTAGACACTTTGATGGGTGTGTTGTGATAACTCATTGTATTTTAATTTGTATTTCCCCAATGGCTAATGATGTTGAACACCTTATAATTTACTTACTTTCTGTATATCCTCTTCAGTGAAATGTATATTCATGTTTTTTGCCTATTTTCCAATAAGACTGATATTTTACTGTTCAGTTTTAGAGCTTTTTAAAAAAATATTATAGATGTGAGTCCTTTTTCTCAGATACATGGTTTGCAAATACTGTCTCCAAGACCGTAGCTTATCTTTTCATCCTCGTAACTGAGTCACATAGCCAAAGTTTTAGGTTTTGATGTAGTTCAATTTATCTTTTTTAAAAAAAATTTATTTATTTAGCATGTATGTGAGCTGGGGGAGGGGCAGAAGGTGATCGAATCTCAAGCAGACTCAACACTGAGTGCTGAACCTGACACAGGGCTTGATCTCATGACCCCAAGATCATGACCTGAGCCTGAATCAAGAGTCAGACACTTAACCAACTGAGCCACCCAAGGGCCCCTCAGTTTATCATTTTTTAATGGATCATATCTTAATGTCCACATTTAGAACTCTTCCACTAACACTGATCCTGAAGCTTTTTCCCATTTAAAAATATTTTATACTTTTAGGTTTTAGGTTTATTCTGGTGCTCCATTTTGAGTTAATTTTTATAAGGTATGAGATTTAGATTGATTTTTTTTTTTTTTGGCCTGTGGATGTCTGATTCCTTTAGCACCATTTATTAAAAAGATAATCCTTGTTCTGTTGAATTGCTTGTGCAGTTTTTTTTTTTTCCACAGATCAGTTGAGTATATTGGTTTGGGTATATTTCTAGGTTTCCTCTTCTGTTCCATTGCTATATGTGTTTATCCCTCTGCCAACCCCACCCTGTCTTGATTACTATAGCTATATGGTAAGCTTTTGTATCAGCTAGAGTGATTTCTCCCACTTTAATATTTTGTGGCAAGATTATTTTGGGGGGGTTACCAAATAACTTTATTTTGAAGGAATGGTACAAATGAAAGAAGTTAAATAGATATTTTGGTACAACTTATAGAAAAGGTAAATATAACCCCACCATGCATACACTGCCTTGGTGACCAGGGAAGTCACCCTTGGGGCTATGGGAAGACCCTAAGGTTTAACTCTCGTTATCACTGTTTCCCAAGGTATGCTTGTCAGAGAGATACTCTGCCATGCCAGATTCAGGAGCCCCCATCTTGCGCAGGTTGGTTACATGGTCACCCAATTCTTTGATGGATTTCACTTGTTTATTCAGGTAATGAGTCTCAATGAAGTCCCACAGATGGGGTCATTTTTTATCAGTGACCAGTTTGTGTAGTTCCAGTAGTGACTGATTCACACTCTTTTCCAAGTGTAACGCACACTCCATTGCATTTGGTCCGTTTTCCCAGTAATCACGGTCTGGTTTCTTGATATCCTGAGGGTCTTCCCTGCAGCTTAATCAGCTTCTCAGCATGTTCCCTCTCCTCATGAGATGGGTGAAGAAAATATTTGGCCAAGTTCTTCGAAGCCTTCTTTGTGGTCAAAGTAGTAAGACATGGACTACAGGTAGACATGGGCATAGAGCTCCAGGTTGATCTGGAGGTCAAGGGCAGCCTCCGAGTCCTGGTGGTAATTCTGGTGTACCTGTAAGAGGGACATAGTCATCATGGCAGCCGCTGAGGAGAGGCAGTGTCAAGTGGTGGTGGCTGCAACGGGGATGGTCTGTGGGCACTGTGAGGAGATGGCGGAGGGTTGACTCTGAGCAGCCACCAGGGTGGGGGACGAGTGCCGGGTTCTGTCCAAGAACTGTTGAAGCAGGAAACTTCAGTGACTTTCGATGGCGACTCAATATTCTGTGGCAAGATTGCTTTAATTATTCTAGGGCCCATAAGATTTTATATAAATTTAAAAATAATCTTATCTGAAGCTACAGAAACTTTTGCTGGGTTTTTTTTTTTTTTTAAAGATTTTATTTATTTATTTGACAGAGAGAGAGAGGCAGCGACAAGCAGGGGGAGTAGGAGAGGGAGAAGCAGGCTTCCTGCGGAGCAGGGAGCCTGACATGGGGCTCGATCCCAGGACCCTGGGATCATGACCTGAGCTGAAGGCAGATGCTTAACGATTGAGCCACCCAGGCGCCCCTTGCCGGGGTTTTGATAGGGATTTCGTTAAACCTGAATGTAAATTTGGAGGAACTGACATTTTCACTGTGTTGAGTTTTCCACCTGATGGATGTGGTATGGACATGTATGTCCATTTCTTAAGGTCTTTGATTTCTTTCATCAGCATTTTGTAATTTTTAGCATACAGATTTTATATAGTTGGTCTTTGAGC